CATGTCTCTCTGGGCCCAGGCGGGGGGAGGGCAGGGGGCCCCCAAAGGCCTGTCTCCTAGGCCTGGAGCCTTCCGGGTAGGGTGGTCTGGGGTCCCCAAACGTTTTGGCGGGCACTTGTTAATATTAAAAACACAACTGACTTTGTTCAATTTAATTGTATATACAGTGGTTGTGTTTAGAAGAATCATAGAAGTGGGCATTTAGAATCTCAAAACAAAAGTTCATACAGCAGAAGACTTTAAACATGTCCTAAGTCCTCCGGGCGCTGAGGAGGTCGTGCGTGGGTTCCAGGGCCGCCTGGGCAGAATGTCACGATGGACGAGGGGGGCACACCCCTGCTCCCCGACTGCCTGGTCTACCAGATCTTCCTGAGCCTGGGCCCCGCGGACGTGCTGGCTGCCGGGCTGGTGTGCCGCCAGTGGCAGGCTGTGTCCCGAGACGAGTTCCTCTGGAGGGAGCAGTTCTACCGCTACTACCAGGTGGCCCGCGATGTGCCCCGACACCCAGGTGAGCCCCCGCGTGCCCGCGGCCACCAGGACGGGTGGGTGGGGCCAGGTCCCCCACGGCTGCCACCCACGTCCACAGTCCGGCACCTGCCGCCCAGGTCCTCACACGGGCCCCTGGGCCGGGCCTGGGAGTGCAGGCTTGGCAAGGCCGGGTGGTCAGGCCGCCCCAATGTTGGGGTGGTGACTAGCGAGCTCCAGGGGCAGGGCTGGCCCCACCATCAGGCCCCAGCAGTGACCCCCCCATCACCCCCCACACTCACAGCGGCCTCATCCTGGTACGAGGAGTTCCGGCGGCTCTATGACACGGTGCCCTGCGTGGAGGTGCAGACGCTCCGGGAGCACACGGACCAGGTCCTGCACCTCAGCTTCTCCCACTCGGGCTACCAGTTTGCGTCCTGCTCCAAAGACTGCACCGTGAAGGTGAGGGCCGCCCAGGGCTGGGGCTGGGGCAGGCCCCGCCTCGACACGGAGGCGAGGGCCAGCCGTGGGTGCGAGTGCCAGGCGGCCTCATCCCCATGGAAAGGGCACGTCAGGACCAGCCAGGCCCAGAGGCTGGACTGGAGAGGCCAGAGCTGCCAACAGGGAGGAGGGTCCTGCTGGAAGCCTGCTGCTCCAGACCTGAGCCAGGGCACTCGCCCTGGGCTGGGCTGACGCCAGGAGCAGGAGCCCCCGGCGGTGGTTCCTGGGCACCTGCGTGGGCCGAACGGCCAGGGCTCGCAGCGTGTCCCGTGCCTGACCCTCCGCGCCCCCACAGATCTGGAACAACGACCTGACCATCTCGCTGCTGCACAGCGCGGACATGCGGCCCTACAACTGGAGCTACACGCAGTTCTCCCAGTTCAACCAGGACGACTCGCTGCTGCTCGCCTCGGGGGTGTTCCTGGGGCCCCACAATTCCTCCTCCGGGGAGATTGCGGTCATCAGCCTAGGTGAGCGTGGGCCTGGGGCGACTGGCCCAGCCCCCTGCCCGCCCCCCTTCTTCCCACTGCCCACCGCCTTCCCGTAGCCCCGC